AGCAAATGCATATAACAGAATCTTGTGCTATCATCAATAAAAGTAATAAAATACTTACTGCCACCCCTTGTTTGTACAAACTATAGGTCACAAATATCACTATGAACTAAATCAAGAGGATTTGTGATTCTTTCAATACTATTAAATGATGACCTTGTCAATTTTGCCTCAACACAAGTTTCACACTTACGTTTGGAATCAAATTGGAAAATAGGTATGTGATTTAAGTTAATTAATTTACGCAAAGTGTTATAATTAAAGTGTCCTAGTCTACCATGCCACGCATAGGAAGACTCAAGCAAATAAGCAGAAGAATTTCTCTTATTAATGCTATTAGGTTTTACAACACAAACGTTAAGCTTAAATAACCCATACTCACATAACCTTTTTCCAACATACATTCATTTCTTTGGCAAAACTATTTTGTCTGACTTAAGAACTATACAGAAACCATGCTTGTTCAGCAAAGAACCAGACACCAGGTTCTTACAGATTTCTGGCACATACATAACATAGTTTAGAGTTAGCTCTTTCCCAGATGTCATCTTTAAGACCACCCTTCCTTGGCCTTCAATCTCTGAAGTAGCTGAATTTCCCATGTACAACTTTTCCCCATTTTCATTTGGTTCAAAGGAATTAAATAGGCCTTTGTCTGAGTAGACATGCCAAGTGGCTCTAGTTCAAGCCACCATTCTCTTGGGTTAGACCTAACCAGATTCACTTCTGAAACCACCGTAGAGAGACTTATGTCAGAGACATCCTGAGTAATATTCTCCATAACATTTGCCTCTTTGATTCGATTTCTTCTTGGCAATCTATAATCGGAAGCTTTGTGACTCATCTTGTCACAATTAAAACACTTGCCTTGGAACTTTTTTGGCTTCTTAGAGATGCCTCCTTTTGGCCCTAGCTTGGCCTTTTTCCCTATCTTCTTAGAATTAGAACTCTGACCACGCTCCATAACATTTGCTTTTGTTGCTACAGGAGTAAACCCTCAATTTTTAGAACTTTTGGTGTCTTCTTCAATCTGCAGTCTAACAATGAGCTCTTCAATGTTCATCTCCTTTCACTTGTGCTTAAGATAGTTCTTGAAATCCTTCCATGCGGGAGGTAGCTTCTTAATAATGGCAGCTACTTGGAAAGTTTCACTTCGCACCATCCCTTCAGAATGAATTTCATGTAAATCAACTGGATCTCTCGCACTTGACTGATAACAGCTCTTGAGTCCACCATTTTATAACTGAGGAATTGTCCCACCACAAACTTTTTGGACCCAGCATCCTTAGTTTTATATTTACGGTCTAAAGACTCATAATTCTTTGGCTGTTTTCTTCAAAGCGTACACACTGTACAATGAATTTGTCAGACAATTCATGACATAATTTCGGCACAAAAATTTAGAATGTTTCCAAGCATCAACAGCACTGATAACTTGAACATCGTGCTCATCTTCTTTGAGCGTAGGAGCATCCTCAGTCAAGAATCTCACAAGATTCAAGGTGGTCAAATAGAAAAAAATATTTAGTTGCCACCTCTTGAAATGCATTCCACCGAATTTTTCTGGTTTTTCCGCATGGTTCATAGGAATAGAGGCCGGTGGCACATGAGTTGGTGTGGGAGCCACAACTTGGTTCGACACATCACCAGAGTTTGATTCAAATGTCATTTTCTTAAAAAATCCAAACCAAAAAATTATAATGTGAATTTTTGAATAGTAGTCAAAAGATAATTCCCAGGAAACACTGGACGGGTCACAAACGGTCCCTCTTAAAATCCAGTCTCTTTAGACATAATTTCTCTAAATCGTACTATTCAAATTTCACCACCACACTTTTACTGCACAAGGACTGCAGCCTTTGGGAATATCAAAACACAATGTTTTTAACAAAATAAACTATGATTACTAAAAAAGTCGAATCTGTTTTAATATTGTTATTAAAAAAATATTGTTATAAAATAATCAACTATTATATTAGTAACCGCAAATAATAATTTTTGTTAATATAAAACAATAAAATTAACTGTCAATAAAATAAAAAGACAATACAATAAAATTAACAATACCAACAACTTGATTACGTGTAGGAAATCATTCAGAGTGATAGGATGGGATCCGGAGAATACAACCTTAGGAAGAATGTTGAGGCCTGTGTAACACACAGTTTCCTTAAAACAAATTTGCCTCCTTCACTCAGGTGCACAAGTATTTGAGCAGCGTTTGTTTCCTAGGATACAACGACAGTCGACAGATGAATAGCAAGAGAGGCAACACTCTTCTATTCTAACAAACTGAATAAAGCATTAACTTCAATAAAAGAAAACTTTAAAAACTAGAAAAAAAATAAGAAATTGAAAGAACTCTCACTTTTTTTAGTGTGTTTGAAATGAGAGGAATAACACTTTTTTATATTACTTAAAGATTGGGATAAAACATTGAATTTCACCATTATTTTCACCTTTTCACTTTCCAATTCTTAAAATTTCCTCCATTAATCCACCAACCTTTCACTTTTCAAATTCTCTAACTTACATATCAGTTTTATTCCATTTATTTCAGCCAATTTAATAAAATATTCCAACGAATGCAAAGTAATAACACTGCCTACTACCCATCTTCGTCCTCTTTCGTACAATTAATGCAGAATTTTCACCTCTCCCAGGGCCAAATTAATTCAAACTAGTTTCTGCAATACATCATGTCCACTTATTTAGATATTTCAGTTCTCGATCAGCGACCATCAACCATCAATCGCATGTGCAATCGCCTTGTTTTTTTGTAATCATTCCATCATGTGAATGTTTCGCTTGCACTGTCTGTAAGAAGATAAAACAAAAGAAAGCTAACTGTTCCGGCCCGTTTGTGAGATATATGAATCATATCGATCGTCTGAGATGCTGCAAAGAAAACGGAAGGAAGATTTGATGAAAAGGGTCTCTGAAATAATGTTTTAACCTGTAGCTTATTTATGACATGACTTGATAGATTGGTAACTGCAACGAAATGGAAAAAAAATAATAATAATAACATCACGAGTTCAATTATTAAAAAAATTATACAGAACAAGTGAAACCGAAGTTTATTATTGCGGCCTTTTTTGGTAACCAACCATACTCTTCCTCTCATTGAAAGGAAGCCACAAAAATCTTGAAGCAACCAAAGAAAAAGAAAACGAACAACAAATTAAGCGAAAAAATAATAACATGCAAAAGGAGATAGTAGAATGAAATCTGTAGCGGAGTTACCATGAAAAAAGCCATTTACTTCCGCGGGAGAGCTATATATATGTGTGTGTGTGTATATTTATCATCATCAAACCCTCTCGGTAATTTTACACAGCTTTCTTGAATTGTCTACGCTCAATTTCTATTGCATTAATACTGAAATTAATTTCACCCTTCTTCTCTGAAAAGCCATTGTACAGTTCAAGAAAGCTGTGGAAGATCATCAAGAGGATCATCACCTTGGAGAATTCATCATAATCATCTCAACCCTGATAGCATATACATGCTAACTTCTGAGTAAGCTTTTGATTATGAGAAATTAAAAAGTAGAGAGATGGTAAAGTACTAAAGTAGATATACATATATTTCTCTCTACGTGTGTGTGTGTGTGTGTGTGTGTGTGAGAGAGAGAGAGAGAGAGAGAGAGAGAGAGAGAGATTGGTTCAGATTCTGCCTGACCAGTGAATTGATGGCCAGTCAACCAATTCTACCTAAACACGACATTACCCAAACAATTGGCACCCACCACTTGGATCCACTATTTGCCCGTGCTTCAGCACTCTTCATATGATGATTTTAGCCTAAGCCCCCATAAAAACTGTAAAGAATTTTTAGATAATTAAAAAACTGTATGCAGATTGAGTGTTTGAAAAGCTAAGAATATAAATGCTGATGTATTCGCTGCACTAAGTAGATCTGATACTTTTAGTAGAAATTCTTTTCATATATAATCAGCTTTCCTTCGGTCATCACTCCAATTCATTCCACGTATGGAAAGAATAGGTGATGGCAAAATATATGTAGCCAACCACTTTGAACCCATGACCAATATCCTGTGGGTATGTGTGGCATTAATTATTAGCTTTTCAATTTCAGATTAAAGTATTCTACCATATGTTAGGCATTAATTATACAACATATGAGCCAAAACAATTCATGTGTGGTAGGGTAGACTAGAGCCAGAGTTTGGGATTAGGGCATCCAATTTTTGTTAATTTGTTGCTGAAATTACACTGTAAATTCAGCTCCTTCCATTTATGTAATGTCTTCTTTTTCATCAATATAATTAGTGGTTTTTAAAATTAGTACGTATCAATATTTTTATTAATTGATATATGATCACCCACCCATTGTGTGGTAAAGTATCTCCAAGTTCAAAGCCAATCTATTTAAATATAATCACCGGAATGGAGTTCTCTATGGTTGGGTTAGCTAGGGAGAACATTACACGCTAAACAAGAAAAAATGGTGGTCCACTTGTTGCTTGAAAATTACATAGATATTATGATACAAACTATTATAAAAAATAACTATTAACAGGACCATACATGTGATCTTTTTGTGGTGAGACATCTAGTGCCTGTTCTTATCCAGGATATCATGGCAGAATTTTTATTGAATTATGTTTTCCGATTATTGAAATTTTGAAATGAATTTTTAGTAAGTTCATAGAAGAAAGCAAATTTCCTTTTGTATGATAAGTAATGTAAGAAATTTTCTTCGCATTCATGTAATGTGAGAGAGAGATTTTGTGTACTGTACAAGCATATCGATAATGACTCAACAATGTAAAGCCAGTACTGTTTCCTGAATAGCTTAAGAATAAGAAATTAATAGAGAGAATCAGATTGTACTTTACACAGCTACATTTGAATACTCTGTCCACATATTTTATTTGCTTTTTTTTGGTAATTTTTTTTTTTTTTTTTTCCAGATTTTTCAATACTGATTAAGAATTGATATATAGAAAAAGATTCAGAAGTGAAAACGTATCCATCTAATTTCAGATTAGAGAATAATTTAATGAGTCATAACATTAACAACACATTACAACAGGCATAGGCAAAATGGCTTGCCTAGTTATTTGAAAGAACAAATCACAGAAAACACATACAAAAAGGAAAAAGAAAATAATAAGCAAAACAACCAGAAACAATAAGCACATATATGCGTGAGATGACACAACACATAATGAAGAAGAGATCTTGATAAACAACTTCCTAACTGGGACATTGGAAGTTTGGAGGAAGTGTCTTGGCACATGCACTAAGGAGTAAACCGAGTGTAACTGGCACGTCCAAGTTAATTCCAAGCACATTGGCTTTGATGGCAGTGCATAGACACAAAGCAGCTTCCAAATCGGCCAATCCTTTAATCAAAGCACAGCATTTGCTACCAGAAGGAGGGTCTCCAACCACAACGTTAACCAGTCCGAGAAGGTCTACACAAACTCCTAGGTTCAATGTAGGGCAAGATCTCGGAGGCGGTGAGGGCTTGACTGAGGGGTTGCATGAACCACAAGCACTTGTTAATGTTGAGGAAAAAAGCAAAGATAGCACAAAAATAGTGCTGTAGAGCTTGTTGGAAGCCATGGCTAGCTCTAGATTATTGCTACTACACTTACTGGTTTAAGAGCTTGGTGTGGATTTGGTGCAATGGGGAGACAGCTTTTTTAAGGGGAATCCTGAGGTGGCTGTTGGAAGATTGATTGAGTGGCAGAGAGAGAAAAATGTTGATAACGTACTTCGTTGGATTTTTGTTCGCTTGTGACTTGTGAGGAGTATGCTGTACTATGGCATCCAGAGCTATCATGTACAGTACAAAATTGTTTAATATTAACAATTAACAATCACAAAACAATAATACAGAGTGATTTCTCCAATGCTACAGCCACGTCCAATAATTCAGTATGTTTGCTAATCCAATAATTGAATAGTATCATATACTCTTTTTAGTCACTTCAAAATTAACTGATTAATAGTCCCAAAACCTTTATAATTTGCTGTTGATTTAGCTATTAATCAAGCCCTTTTTTTTTAACCCTAAATAGTGGTTGAGGAGGCATTTATGTATAGGTAGCTATATTGAAGCGACATATCAGTATTTTACGAATAGATTCCAAGAGAAGCATGGAGACAAATACTGAAATACTTACCTTCTTTACTGTTCCTTGTTTTTAGCATTGTCCAGTAGAGTGATTTTTTTAGCAGCTAAAAACTATGAGGTCCAGAACGCACGGCTTCAATCACATGGTTTCGGACCTCATTGCCGGCCAGCTAGCTCGTGTGATTGCAATATGTTGTGTCAGCTTCCCCGTAGCTATTAAATAGTCTTGTCGTGATCGCCGGAGGGGTTGTTTTGAGACCATTATCATGTCATCTATGTCTTAATTTCCATCATTATTCAACCAATTATATTATAGGATATGTTTTTCATAGTCTCAAGGAAATTTGGGAATGGTGATGCGTAATTTTATCGTTAATGAATAGGAAAGATTAGACGTTAAAGATATGATCAGTAAATATATATATATATAATATTTTTGTATATTATACCCTAGGATTATCCTTTTAATTGATTAATTTCATCTTCCAAAGGAAGCTTCCTTAATGAAAATGATTTTGGACAAAGAAAGAAAGATACGAGATAATAGGTCAATTATTGTGAAAGATAAACATAAAATTGGATTTTGAGTGGAGCTTTTCTGATGTGTTGTAAATGGTCCCAAAATGAAAAGGCTTGTAATGGATTTAGATTAGACTTGTGATGAAAAAACTTGCAGAACTTATGCCTGGCGCCCATAACTTCTTCTCTTTAAATATTATGTTATGTCTCAAAATATAATGGTTGATACATGCTGAAATCATCAAATACCAATCAAAATTTGAAAAAACATTCCACCGTCCAGAACATACTATTTCTGTAAAGGCAAAAAGAATCTAATTGTCTACAACTCAATCAAGTCAAGAATTTGTATCTCAATGAATTTAGTTTGCACACCTATCTAAACCTTATTTAATTTAAAGATATTAATTGGGTTCTCGACAAATGGTAAGGCAGGAGGGATCTTCACGGAATCAAACCACTTGCAAAATTGTAATCATAACCTTGAGTAAAACAGGTATAAATAGACAGCTCCCCCTTACAAAATCGGGATAAGATGCTTACGCATTCAACAAAGAAAATAACAAAGACATATTATTAGAAAGAGATTGGCTTGACATTCTCTAAGAACACTTAGAACACCAAACACTTGTGATACCAGATCGCAGTTCGCGACCTCTTGAAAGCATGTCTAATGATCAGAAACAAATTTATATAAACGAACACAGTGGATGTAAGATTCGTTTTAAGCATCTGAACCACTATAAAAATTATCTTGTCAATTTTACATGGCATTGTGCTTACAACACCTCACCCACTTAATTTAATTAACTCATGTATAATTTCTCAACACTTTACAAATGCGAAATCGTTGGTTTCAAAATCAAGTATCAACATATTAGGATGCGAGTTCAACAGCCATGAAATAATTGGTAGGTGAGCCAAGCAGGAACTTCTTGTTATTCAATACTTTGGTTATGTGTTCGTATTGTCACAATATTTTCATAACGTTTGTTACGCATAAGGTATTTCAATAATATTCTGTATAAGATTATGGTGCATACTGTTCCGGGATTTGGATACTTGAGGTCAACAGTGTTCGAATCAACAGACGACTTTGATCTTTTTTATTGGTGAGTTTCGGGTATGATTTATCCTCCAAGTCCAAGTTAGTCTTCTTTCTTTTGAAAACCCAGAGCCCAAAACAACCTGCAAAACCAGCAAGAAAACGTCATTAGGATATTCTCCACACCTTCGGATTTTAGTAGTTGATGACTCTCACCGTCTTACCTAGACAAGAGCCTGTTTACGATATTATTATCAATAAACTTTTTTTTTTTTTTTTTGGTAACCACAGTGTTCGAGCCCGTTTACGAGCAGCTCGAACCATTTGGACGACCCACGGATGAGTACTACTTTAATAAACTCTTCTTCTATAAGCTTTACTTGAATAAGTCATACCAAACAGACTCTAACTGTTATTAAAATACGAAGTTGTATAAAGAAATAGTTAGATGTCATGAACTAGAGGCTAAAAGCCATGGACAAGAGCCTGTTTACGATATTATTATCAATAAACTTTTTTTTTTTTTTTGGTAACTATAGTGTCCGAGCCCGTTTACGAGCAACTCGACTAATCATTGGGAGAGACTAGCCCAACAATCCATTGCTATTTCAGATGCTTAGATGGAGAATCGAACTTAAGATTATGCGTCTATCCACAATTCGTCATAAATCATCTGGACTATCTACGGATGAGTCTACTACTTCAATAAGAGTAATGTTACAGTTACTGAAAGGAGCGCACCGAATTCATGTACTGAATGATGTGACGTAATCCTGACCGTCGATTAATTATGAGTTACTATTAATAAACGGTCAGGATTGTACCACGTCATTCGGTGTGCTTCTTTCGGTAATCGTATTATTTTCCCTTCAATAAACTCTTCTTCTATAAGCTCTCCTTGAATAAGTCGTACCAATCAAACTCTCACTGATATTAAAAAATGAAGCCCAAAGTAGCCGGAATTGCAAATACAAAGGTATAAATAAATAGTTAGATGTCACGAACTAGAGGCTAAAAGTAAAAGCCATGGACAGGAGCAGGCGTCGGTGCAAAGCTAGCTTATATATATATATATATATATATAAGGCTTGACTTTTAATTTATGGAAACACTAACACAAGCATCATTTGATTCCATAAGTCTAATATTTAGTAATTACATTGGCCGACCAAAGGCACAACTAGTATTAGGCCAACTTGACTTTTCTCAATTGTTACTAGAATCCAAAAAAGAAGAGTAAAGGACATTTACCCACCCCGAGTTTGACGAATCTATAGTTTCCACCCGTGGTTTCATAAATTGGAAATTCCCACCTAATTTTAAATTTCAAACGTTAGGTTAACAGCTAAAAGGCTATTTTGGTTTTTTTTTTTTATCCGAAAAATAGTAAACCCTAATCTCTTTCACTTTCCCAAATTAGTAAAATTTTAAAATAACCCTCCACATCTTAAAAATTTCTCAGAAATCAACCCTTCCACTCCGCCTCCAACTCCTCCACCACCACCACCAGTCCACCAATACCAACACTACCGGTGGCCAAATCTGGCCACTACAGAGAAGAGGAAAAGAGAAAGAGAAAAGAGAAAAGAGAAAGAGGTGGAGAAGAGATAAGGAGAAAGAGCGAGAGAAAAGAGAAGTGAGAAAGAGGCGGAGAAGATCCCGACGACCAGATCTGGTCGCCATAGAGAAGAGAAAGAGGCGGAGAAGATCCCGACAACCAGATCTGGTCGCTATAGAGAAGAGAAAGGTTGAAGAAGAAGGTGTTAGTGAAATGAATTTGAAAGGAATATGATTATACGCGTTTCCAATCATATTAATATAAAATAATTTAAACAATCATTAAAGTGNCAAGGCCATTTTCTTAAATGCAGACTTGGGGGGACCGGGCAGCTAAATTTTCTCGGGGTTATGTATTAAATTTAATTAGGAGTAAACAATATTTTCGGTTTAATGATATTTTTCCGCTTACTGTTAAAATATTATTTTATTACTTAAATTTATATTCAGTTTTCGACTCCACTTCGTTGTCGACTCCACTTCGTTGTAATCTCATACTACTACAATTCTCTTCCCGATCATCAGTCACCAAAACCCGATCATCGAGCGATTACGGTTTATGCAATCATTCCTTCCAAGCATTGTTTTAAAATCCGGACCGAAGGGTAACCCGTTTTGCTGCTCGGGTCACGAGTCATGGGTCAACCGATTGGACCAATGACGTCAACGATAATTTTATTTTTAAAAAATTACATGTTAATCCCTTAAATTTTAATATATTACAAAAATTCTCCTAAAAATTTAATTAGTCCCTAAAATTTTTATTTATTTCAAAAATGCCTCAAAAAAATTATTAATTGGTCCCTAAACTTTTGACAGATCTCCAAAAAACCCTTATACAATTACAAATTAACTCTTATAATTTTAAAATATTACAAAAACTCCCCTAAGACCTGACCCAGATCGGAGAAGTTGCTGGGTCCCAGTCCGGTCCGATTTTTAAAACAAAGCTTTCAAGTCAAATTTCGATCAATCCCAACCTTTAAAATCTAACCTTCCACCATTAAAAGATTTATGGACATCTCCTCTTCAAAAACCCAACAGATTGGATCGAGCTTACTCTCTGTTCGTTATTAGAATATAAATTTAAATAATAAAGTGATATTTTAAACGACTGTTTGTAAAAAAAATCATTAAATTATTATTGGGAAGGCGATACATACTACATTGCATTAATTAATCACTTGTACAAAAGTAATAAGACAGCAGAAGGCATGCCCTCTCTTGAATATTGTACAGAAGTAGCGGTTGACTCCAACGGCAGTGGATTATTAAGTAGCACCTAACCGAACCGGCCTTTTCTATTGTCAAGTTGAAAAGGAAGTGGCAGTGGGTGGTGGATGTGTGAAATAAGGCCAAAGTCATGTACCACGCCTCGTTATACATCATCAAAATTTACTAATAAACTAGTCAAATATATCATTGTTGGAAAACTAAACCCATGTTGT